CCTTTTCCTCTGAAGTTGTCTGTTCAGCCTCATCACTAGTTTGTAGATATCTTAATATAAGCTTTCGGGTTCGGTTTGTTCATTTTGTGTTTAAACTTTTCATGTATGAATACTTGAATACATGTCGTGCCCACCGCGTATCATCCATTCGGTCAATATTTGTTCCGATTTCAACTTGCTAATTTTCTCCCTGCTCTCAAAAGACGACCAGCCCATGAACCCCTGTACACCCTCCTTTGTTGTTTTTACATATGCTCTAAGTGCCAATCTGCCTGGGCCTCTTTGTCGAATTTCTAATCCTGATTGAACCTCTGATTTCATGCACAGAACCCCATTGCCTAAATACAGTCCTGGTAACATCACTCCTTTCCTTATACCTCTTACCACTTCATGTCTATTATAGTCCCATAATGCATAAAGCTTCGGAATAAATTAATTCATTGAGCCAGACCCCCGATATTTGTGTTTTCCTACATGGTCTATCACAATCTCTTGTATCCTCTGGAGTTCCATCTTTTTGTCGTTAAACGCATTCACTCTAGACTTGTCACTAGTAAAACTTACGCCCAAGGTGTCTCCTTCCTCTTCACATATTCCAGCTAGTTCCTGCAACATATCCTGGTTATCTGCCATAAGTACTCTGTCGTCGTTTTCTATCCACCGTGGATAACAAAGCAATTTGTTGTGTGTATGTTTATACAGCCGGAAGTTAGTCTGCCTGAGTGGGCGTCCGGTGTCTCAGCTGTAGATGAGCAATTTAGCGAATGCAGTACAACCGCTAGCCTAGGACTTTTAGCGTGCGTCACGCAGTAGTGACACACGACCGCGCGCCGGTACGATGCTCATCCAGATCGAAACCGGCAGGGGTGGGTATGGAGCCCAGGATCCTATTAGCCCCGAGAGCGAATACAAGCGTCGCTGCGGTCGCCGCGCCCTGATTGGGTGAGGTGTGCCGTGACGTCAGGGGGAGGACTCTGCTCCGCGACCTCGCATCGGCTCGCTTCCCAGCACCGGTTTCCCGGTTTGGCGTTGTGTGCCGCAAGCTCTTCGAAGCGCTGGACTTCGTTTACCCGGTGTACAGGACGTTGAGTTAGGCTGATATTGACGTGCTTCCGTACATTTTATAAGCCTGCTTGTCTCTTTTACCTTGAAAATTGGGTTACAAATCCCGAAAGCTATCGGCGGAGGCAATTCCGCCGATGAACCTCCCCGCCCGTCCACACGACACAAGGCAATTTAGCGAAGGATCGGTGGAGCGTTGGCGCAAGTGTTTCGGACGCTGGAATTCTGTTCCTTGCATGTTCATGATTTAGGAGAATGTTACATCCCGCTTTGCAGGCATTTGAAATTGCATTCATATCAAGGGCCTTTGGGTGGTCGGCAAATTAGCTCGGGACTCTGACTTTGCGCTGCCGCTCTGCATACGCTGGTTCGCAGATGTTTTAAAGGCCCTGTGTCTGATCATCTTTGAAGTGCTCATAGAACAGGGTTGTTTTACATAAATGTAGCTTCTTCGTAAATTAATTATATTGTTTATACACGTATGCAGGCATATTTCATAGAAGATGCACAATTACTGGAAATTAGTTTGTCTGGTAGCAGCAAAAACGGCCGAATTACCTGCAGTTGCCTGTATGATATGTATTGGACTGCCCAAAATATGCACAGCAAATGTGCCGTAATTTGGAATGTTTACACTTTTTCCTGACACTTTTATTCCAGCTTTGGTTATTCGGAAAATACACCGTTTAGTCTGAATTGTCATTTCCAAATAAAAGAGACTGCTTCGGGTCTCCAAAAGCTTCCTCAGCCTCCAAACTCCCTACAGCTGTACTCTCTGACAACAGAGGAAAACAGAAGTAAAAGCAAGCATTCGAACGCCTGTCCAGTGGCAGTTGCAGCACTAGTAGCACAAAATGTGGAACCTGTGAAGGGCGACAGTCTGGGTGAGAAAAGCTTTTGGTATTTTAGCTTCAGGACAATTCGATTTAAGTAAAATCTCAATTTTAGGGCTCAAGGGACTAATAACGAGCTAGACACTTTCGCTTACGTTTGTTATACATTATTGAGGGTTGATATAAACAAGTCCACAGATATCACCCGTGTAGTCCATTGAAATACAATCCGAATCCAGCAAAGGTCAAATGCGAGCAATGTATGTAATAAATGTTCCTTGTTTTTTTACTTTGCCCCTGCACTTGGGCTGTCTTACTTGTGATTCTCTCCCCATGGCCCAGTCTGTATTTAGCATGTTGCTCGAGGAGCATGCAGCTTTTCTGCTTCGGCGAACTCGTTTAAAAACAGATACAAAACAAAAAATAGTATACATAACCTGCCAATTCATTCAGACAATCAGCAGCATTTTTTGTGCGAATGTAAATCTATAGTGATGCTCCTGCCACTGTGGCCATATTTCTTTATTTTCATATACCAGCTCCGATTCATGCGTTGCCTGCCCTGTCGACCATGCTTAAAATGTTAATTGAAGTTTCGCCTGAAGCTACAGGCCATACCTCAATAAAGGCACAAAAAAATATTACACTTCCTACGAAAAACACGCCAAAAAAAAAAATAGGAACGAGCGCGCCGACAGTTAGCGTCGTCACAGCCTCCACAGGGCGAGCGGGGCGAGCCGGGGAAAAATTCTCTCCTCGCCGTGACGTCACCCCGGTTCGCCGTAAGGGGGCGCCACGCGAACTTCTCGGGGCTAATAGACGCTTTCAGGCAGCTGTGCATGGGCGCCGCCATAACCGACCTTCAGTTTTTGTTCCCTCTTATCCCGTTCGCTCTACTTCAACATTACCACAGTAGGACAAGTTATTGCCATTTTAAGTGTTACTGTGTCCTCCTCCCCAGCATAGGCCCTTGTAGAGACTCGTCAACGCCCACTTCAGTGGCTCGGCATCTCGGTAAGACAAGAGAAGGTCGGCTATGGCGGCTCAATCTGGCGCGCGCTGAAAGCGTCTATACTTCGTCTCACCTTAGTATGGACTATTGTTAGCCGTCCGTGCTAAAAGCGCGAGCTAGTCGCTTTGAATGAAGCTGCGGCGGCTGCACGAGCGCTCGTGCAGCAAGTGCTCTATACTTCGTTTCACCTTTGCGTGGACTAACTGCGAAAGCCGTGCAAGCGCGAGTGGTTAGCCTTGACTGCCTTGACTGGAGCACTCGCTGCACGAGCGCTCGTGCTCCCGCTACGACTTCATCCAAAGCAACTAGCTCGCGATTTTAGCATGCGCGGCAAACAATAGCCCATGCTAAGGTGAGACGAAGTATAGTCAAGGCAGTCAAAGCGGGCCGCTCGCGCTAGCTCAGCCTTCGCGGTTAGTCCATGCTAGGGTGAGACGAAGTATAGGTTCTGCAGCGCGAGCTTTCGCTGCATGTGTTCCGAGCAGGTGTGCGCTAGACCACTCGGCCACCGATCCCCCCAACGTGGATAGAACACGAAGCGTTTGTACAGCTCTCGAAGCGCGGCTGCTTGCAAACGTCTATAGCTCGATCTCCTCGCCGAAGGCTTGGGAAAGCGTGCGTTACTGCACTAACGTCATAATGGGTTTGTAAAGGGAAGGCAGCAAGACATCAGACTCTGAAGTCTGTCTGCAGCCGACGCCGCAATCCGACGTAGCCAATCAGGCAGCGGCAAAAGTACGTCGTCACGGCGCTCGTTGTCTTTGTGAGTTTTCCCTCACACACTAAACCAATCACGTACGGACAAAAGCGCAAGATGGCGGCGATGACAAACCGTTTAGTCGGCGATGGCAAACACACAGAAACGACGAGCGCCGTGACGACGCACTTTTTGGAACTGCTTGATTGGCTTAATTGGACCGTATACCGTAGGCTGCTGTTGGGCTTAAAGTGAAACGCAGAATAGACCTTCGCAAAAATCGCCTTCTGCGCCCTGCCATCTTCGTCTGCTGGGCTGTGGAACGCCTTCTGAGCATGCGCTGGTGCTCTGCTGTGCGGTATACCAGACGCTGCTCTTGCGTGCACAGCTCAGTGACTCAGCATTTTTCGTCCGGGTGATAAGCGATGCAAAGGTATATAAGCTCTGCGGTAAGTCGTCAAAATGTCTCACCGCCTTCGTTCCCAAACCCCACGCTTCCCGCAAATGGCGTCTGCCTACCGACACTCAGCCGCGTGTGGACCGCCGAGAAGGGCAAACAAATTACATCACTCAAATCTCCATTAAAGCATCCCGCCGCTCCGCGCGTTAATGACGCTATCAAGTTACCCGACGTCCTCCGCACACGCTGTCTGTCTACACCCTCCCACACGCTGCCAAAAAGCCAATTCCCAGCACCTCGCACGCGCGGGCAGCTCTTGATGCCTCCGTTTATAGCGATAGCCTCCGCTGGGCGTAGCTGGCAGTCGCATCCGCATCAGGCTTCGGGAAGTTCTCAAAGAGGGATTCAGCGGCAGCGTAAAGCTTCCGTCGTCACGCGACACTGGCACGAGAACCTTATTGTTGTTTGCCGAACGACCGTGGTATCAGCGAGAGCAAGATTCTAAAAACCCACACACAAGACGCGTACGCTGCCAGCGGCCCGGCGTTGATTGAACTACGAGTGCTCTTCGATGAAGGCCGAAAGTGTCTATAGTTCTGCGATTATCTTTTCCTCTTCAAAGGCGTCAGTCGCCTCCTCGCCATCGAGCGCTTCAGATTACGTGCTGCTACCTGCGGCCGACCCTATGTGCCCGCGAGTAGAACTCCCGAAGCATCAGATGGATTCCCTCAGGACTCCGGCGTCGAGCTCGGCACGAGCCGTGTCGTTCGATCTCGGTGTTCTCGGTGACGACGGTGATTCCAGCCCACGGCGTCGTCGTTTCGCTCGAAGAAGCGACACCGGTCTAAACATGATGCGAGCGGCAAGACGCATGAGTGTGAACAGTGGCAATGTCGTGCTGAAGGCGGCGAGACGTTTGAGTGTCGCCGTTCTTCGGAACATAGGGGTGAGTGTGCAGTTCTTTTGATTCTTTGCCGTCCCGCTTTTGCCTCGTAGGTGTGCTTCATGGACGAGGAGGTACCAGTGCCGTAGGGTGCGCCCCTCTGCTCGCGCTCTTGGGTCTCTTGGGCGCTGGCGAGCGGCAGGCTGTGTCCCCGCCATGCCCGATTTGGTTACACTAGGGTTTTCGAACAGGAGGTACCTACCCATGTACCTCTCCAATGAGAGTTACACAATCGAGGTGAGTGGATCTTACACTGTCGCGTTGCGATCAGTACCGTGTTGTTGAGGAGTGTTTATGCGTGTGGTGTTGTTTTGGCTCCTATACGACATTCGCGTGCCGCTCACCAGTTTTCTTCTGCTGGAGTAAACATTGAGAACATGAGCTGATAACTTTGAGAGTTTTTTCGTTCGTGGGCTTCTGCAACGAGAGCTTTGAAGTAATTTGGTAAGACCGAGCCTGCCGACATGTGTTTCAGGGTGGAGAGTGGTTAACAGAGTAATGTTCTCAGTCGAATAAGTCTTCCAGCAGTTATCAGAAAGCACGAGATACGGAATATTGTTTGCGTAGACCCCCATCAATAAAGATTAATGACGTTATAAAGAAACACTAAGGTCACCGATGACGAGCAAATAAAGTAGACAGGAGTTGTGTTTGAGAAGCTTAGATGAGTTTTTTAGCGAAAAATCTGTCTCCTATAACACAAATACCAGAGAAATACCATCTCGTCGTATTTTCCGGAGGTTCAGAAAGCCATAGCTATAACACAAAAGTTGCATGGTCTAAACATTATCACAAACAGGGAATCTGACCGTCTCCGCGTCCCTGTCTTACGAGGAAGCGCGTGCAATTACAAGTCTTTCAAAGATAACTTCACGCGCATTCTGTATGTGTGCTCACGCATGGAGCCCCACTGCACGAACCGTAGACACCTTGTTCCAAATGAACCTTTCCCTAAAAGGCTCCCCCGCGTGCGCGGCCTCTCCTCGCAAGTAACGGCGGAGGCTTATGCTCTATTGAGCATGCAGTGTTGCAAAACGCATGCGCAATAACTCATGTGCCCTCGCGAATAGAACAACGTTTTCGGGGTTGTTTAGGACGCTTCAATTGTTCAGAGGAACGTGTTTCTACTTCTAAGAAGGTTTAACCGCACACTGAGCTATAGAACAGTTTCTGGTGTCTGAATTGTAACTTCTGGTCGAGGTAAATTTCGTTTTTATATTTTTAAACCCCCAAAGCGCAGCAGTGTCTTCGTGTGAGGTTGCAGTGTCTGAGCATATGAGTTCGATTTTAGAAATTTATTTACAATGGGTTCGATCCGGTGGGTCCATGCTGGAGGTACTGGCAACGACGTTGCACTTGACACATAAATTTAGGCAGCTAAAGTTTTGTGGTAACCTGAGAAGGTACAAGGAAGCACTTAGTCCGCAACATCTGGAAACCACGTTAATGCGTTGTTGTTGAAACGTGCTTCGTTACTTCGCACGCCTAGCTTCGTGACCTCATTTGGTGTGGAGTACGTCAATGCGTTGTTAATGGTGGTCGGGGCGTTATTGCGGAGCGTATGGTTCTTACAGAAAACTAGGTTCAGGAAAGTTCTTGTGGCGCGTAACCCTCCAAGCGTGACTCTTAGGTCACCCAGTCTATCTCTCTAACGTGTGTTTTTCCTTTGGGTAACAAAACATAAAAATGCAGTGAGATCACAAGGAACCCATATAAGCGCCTTCGTTATAGTTCCTGTCAGTGAGTTACGTTTCAAGCAGAACCTGTACCGACTTGTCTATTTTGAAATATCATTGCATTGTGACAGAATATTACCAGTAACGGCCAAAGCCGCTTCTGGCAATATTGTTATTAGCGGCGTTGCGATTTTGACTATCGCGAGATGCGTGTTGTCTCTTGAAAACAAAGATTCTAAGCAAGGGTTTGGTTGCTACCACCAAAAAATAATGGAAAAAGAAAAACGAGTAGAATCCCCAGAACGGCAGTCAATACTTTACGAAGACTTAACATCTTGAAGGAATGCTTGAAGTACAAAATAAAATAGCTCTAAAAAGACAAAGACGAGAGCGTAGATAGGAGAGGCGCAATTTTAGCACTTGTCCTTGTCCTAGTATCTTTTGCGCTATTTTATTTTTGTACTTAAATATGCCCCAAGTAGCTGAGCAATGTACTCTACAAGAAATGTTGGTAAGACACGTCACTCGGGCTTTTATTCCCTCAGGTAAGGCTTTTGTTGGTTATGGTGGCTTATACTTATTTTGTTATCTGAGAATCATTAATACAAACAAATTAAGATAACGATATTAATTGCTGGAGGAAGGGAACACGGGGAAAAAAGGACAAACACTCATCTCCAAACGCAGTTACGTGACGTTGCGCGACTGAAAAAAAATCGCGTGGTCCTGGTATCGAACCAGGGACCTCTCCATTTCCGGTTAGCGCTCTACCAACTGAACTAACCAGGAGTGAGACGGCAGTAGAGCAAATTGGTTTTATCAGCCGCTACCAGGTCTAACACCAACAAGGGTGAACGCCTGCATTTTAAGGTTATGATGATAACACAATCAATGCAAAGGCGCACCGAGCTGGACAAGAGTAACGATAATAATCTCTGGAGGAGGGGAATAAGGGGGTCAATGGACATACACAAGTCTCCAAACACAGCTGGGTGACTGATGCGCGACTGAAAATTATTATCGCTTTTATCGTTATTCTTGGCCAGCTGGCTGCACCTTTGCATTGATTGCATTATCATATTAAGATCGACGTTCGCGTAGTCGAGAACCACCGATATGGACGACGTTGGCATGTATCTGCTGACACATAACCGCCGACGTAAGAATGATTGTGATATCATCGCGCCACATTACACATTCTAGTGTTTCAAATAATGATCGCTGTAGCTACACATTGTAGAACTATTCGATCACAAACATACACATCACACCACACAAAAAAGAGACGTCAGAATTTTAGCAGGCCATTTAATACCACCAAAACCGCTCCCCCCAATTGGCCAAAAAAAAAAAATCACTTCGTCAAAAAATCTATTTTTGTTGCTTATCTCCAACTTCCTTCCAAGCATTTAAAGATTGTATCTAAAAAAGATGCTTTAGCGGAACGCTCGAGATTAAAATAACGGGAAGGGTACTTTACAAAACAAGCCGGTAGTTCTGCGTACGTTGTGATCTTTCTTACGCCTTCCGCTGGAGCCGGCTAAAAGCTCCCCTATCACCCCGCAAATATTGTTGTGGCGGCTGACGACCCAAAAACCCCTGGCGTCGTCGTCTTGGAGTGCCTCTTCGCGCTGATCAGATCGAAGCAAGGTCCTATCGCTTCGAGAACAGATAAGAGGTTTCTCCTCTGGAATCTCCGGCGCGCTATACTCTTCTATTGACTTATCCTTGAGGAGCGAAAGATGGGGCAAGGGCGGGAGCGTACCATCGTCTTGTTGTCCGAACCCACGTTGTCTCGTGGCTTCCACCAAACCCCGCGTCTTATGGCTGACTACTGAACGGACACCTCGGTGATAACAAAGCCGGGGTGCTGAATACTTTACTTCAACCGAGAAAGAGAGAGAGCGACAGTTGGCGAAAGAAGATATACTAACGTATGTATCATTACCAATGGCCAGGTGGTCATCATTAGTGGGGGAAGGCGTGAAGGGGACATCAGGTTATAAAGAGAAAAATCATGAAATTTAATGTCACCTAAAGGGCTGTCCAAACAGAACGCTGCAAATGCCGTACGCGGCAGTAAAAGCGTACGCGCTTCTCGAAAAACGTGAACGTCGATGCGCGGACAGGCGGATGGGAGGAACCAGTGGAAAACCTCCACTTTCGGTACAGCAAATGCTGAGAAGTAAAGACGTGCCGTGCCACGCTTAAACAGGCCGTAGAGAGTGGAGGTCAGGGATTGGTTACGAGTGTTGCTTCGCCGTTCGGCCAAGACTCGTGTCCAATCGCTGCGAACACGAGCCCTATAGCCGAGCGCTGACGCAGCGTTCGTGCCCGTTCGCGTGCCTCGTGTTGGCCTTCTTCGGGTGACACCGAAACTCCAGCACTGAGGCGTGGCTATCTAGGAGCACTCGTCCTGAGCCCGGGGATGGCATCGACGGGAAGCGTGCTTCAAGTCATCCACGTGGTATCAGTTCCTTTCAGGACTGACGGAAGCTCCACTCTGAGTGCCTCTTGTAACTTCTTCCTTTTGCGTGTCAGGAGTGGATAAAGTGCCCTTTGTTTTATCTAATCAAACACGCGCTCAGTGATCGATACACTGATTGTGCCTCCTGATTGATGCTCTTCTAGGTATACAGTCGCGAAACGGCTACAAATATCCACAACATGGACTCTTTGAATCCGTATACCCCGACGCTGAGCGCACGTCTCGAATGCGTAGAGAGATCTTCCTCATGTTAAGGTAGCATTCGCTGTAGCTTACCAAGTGATGTAAATATGATGTTAGGGTTATCACCAATGAGTAACGCGTCATGTGGTCGATATATACAAGTTTGATGACGTTAACACAAGAAACGAAACATGCTGAGAGCGCACGCGAGCAGGTGTACATTGGGCAGGACGGTAAACCCCGAGACCGGTGTGGATGAAAAAAAAAAGTGTTGAAACGGTGAATAAACAGTCAAAAAGGGGAACAGACAGCGTCTAAAACTCAGCTACCAAATTTACTTATTTTTATCACACCTTTTATAACTTCTCTCCAACCTTCTTTTTTTTTTTTTTTTTTATTACACGCGGAAAGGTGCCTTCCTCTTCATACACGAACGCAGTGTTTCCAAACACGCCCGCTTTGCCCACACCAGGCGTGCGCAGAAATCAAATTTCTGAGGAGTGAACCGTCTGCGCATGCGCAATACCGACAGCAGCGCCACCGCACTGGCGTGACGTCAGTCAGTGAGCTGACTTGGTCTATGCTCCCGTTCACTTTAAGCTTGACCACAGCCGAAGCTACCATCCGATGCAGCCAATCGTTTTTGTGCGTTCTGCATGCACGGCTAAAGCAATGACGCATAGTGTATCTATAGTTCATGGTCCTGCACTTTTTCCTGCGCTCGATTGGTTGCGCCGGTGATTGCAAATCAACGAGGTAGCGGGGCTTAGAGCGATAAACTGGCATCTGAAAGTGACCCCTACCGGCCGCCGTCATGTTGCACATTTCTTGACCGCTAGACGCGTGACCTTATATATAGTTTTGCGTCTAGATTTCAACGAAGCACCGCT